TTGGTTGATACGGTCAAATAATTTTGCTATACCAGTCAGTCTGAGGTATCAAAACTACCTATTTTTTTTTACGTATCAATATATTGAACAAAAGGACATGCTGGCACTCTAGATTTATGCGGACAAAATTTCGTAGTCATTGTGTTCTAATATTGCTGTCATTTGTATTATACATTAAATCCTGACATAAAAATATTGCTGATTTACTATGCAGCTATATAGATTTACATAATAAAGTGCATATATGGTCAGTTTAGGCTGATGCGGTCAAATAATTTTGTTATAGAGTCAGCCTGGGGTATCAAAACTACTAAAATTTTGTTACGTATCAATACATTTAATAAATTTAGGAGGACATGTTGGCACTTTAAATTCATGCGGACAAAATTTCGTAGTCATTGTGTTCCAATATTGCTGTCGTTTGTATTATGCATTAAATCCTGACATAAAAATATTACTGATTTACTATACGGCTATATAGATTTACATAATAAAGTGCAAATATAGTCAGTTTAGGTTGATGCGGTCAAATGATTTTGTTGTACAAGTCAGCATGAAGTATCAAAACTACTAACATTTTGTTACGTATCAATACATTTAATAAATTTAGGAGGACATGTTGGCACTTTAAATTCATGCGGACAAAATTTCGTAGTCATTGTGTTCCAATATTGCTGTCGTTTGTATTATGCATTAAATCCTGACATAAAAATATTGCTGATATTCAATGAGGCTATATAGATTTACATAATAAAGTGAATATATGGTCAGTATAGGTTGATGCGGTTAAATAATTTTGTTATGGAGTCAGCCTGGAGTATCAAAACTATTGAATTTTTGTTGCGAGAAAATATTTTGAATAAAAAGAGGACATGCTGTCAATATAAATTGTTGCGGACATAATTTTGTAGTCATTGTGTTCCAATATTGCTGTCATTTGTTTTATACAATACATCATGACTTAAAATATCACTGAATTATTATGCAGCTATAAAGATTTACATGATAAAGTGCAGATATATTAAGTTTTGGTTGATGCGGTCAAATAATTTTGTTGTACCAGTCAGCCTGAGATATCAAAACTACCTATTTTTTTACGTATCAATATATTGAACAAAAGGAGGACATGCTGGCACTCTAAATGTATGCGGACAAAATGTTGTAGTCCTTGTGACTGTGTTCCAATATTGCTGTGAGTTATATATTCTATCCTAACAAAAAAAAATGGCTGACATACTATGCGGCTATATAGATTTACATAAGAAAGTGCACATATGGTTTATACGATTTAAAGAATTTGATATGTATTGGAATATATGTTCAATGCCCGTTAGCATTGTAACCAATATCATTTTTTAATTTTATAGAAAGGTTGATCACGGATAAATTTGTATAAGAAGCAAAGTTTTACGTGTACTTTATTTACAAATACATGTATTTAATCGTGTTTGTATCACGGAAGTATTAATTTTACTTTATTTTTCTATGTTGATACCAAGAATCAAAGACATTAAAAAATATTTTTAAAACATCGATGTAGAGCGGTCATGGTTACAAGTTAACTTAGTGTTGAGCAGACCAGCCAAAAAGTTAACTTGAGAACAGACTGGTCTGGTTCGATCAGAGTTGTCAAAATCAAAGTAAACTCATTTTAACTTATGGCAGGACTGGTTTCGAAGTTAACTCTTGTTAACTTATGTCAGGACTGGTTCGAAGTTAACTTATATCAGTAGAGGACCTGTTTCCAAGTTAACTTTTCGGCAGACATAAAAACAGTCCTAGGACAAAGTCCGCTTTTCAAGTTAACTAGATTGTGATCCTAGGACTGGTCAGAGCAGTCCTAAATCCTGTCACAGGTTCACTTTGACCAGTCCAAATGACTGGTTATCAAGTTAACTTGCTGTACAGGTTAGGACTGCACCCATTTGTATAATTGTTCTTGGCCTAATGACAATAATGTGTTGTATATACACCATGCGTCTAGTAAGTTTCTCACTATTAAATTATGCGATTATGTGAAAACTGCATGGAATATTAGATTTCAAATTGTTTCATTACTTAAATTTTAATTTTGCCCATAGCACTTTTATGCTTATGCAATAAAGATTCATTCATTTAGTCAGTCAAGAAATTATCAAAATGATTGTGATTGACTATTCTGATGCGGAATCTTATTAGGATCATTAAATAACTGAATAATGTTTGTTTTTAAGTTTTTTGAATTTTTGTTTATTATTTGGCATCCAAAAATGGAACTGCACAATATAAAATACCTCGATACATAGAAATTACAGATAAACTGTACCTTTGAAGATTTTTCTTCAACCTGAACGCCGACCCCGATGATGAATAACAAGAAAAATACTTTAACTTTAAACCCGAATTATGTCGATAGGCTTAATGAAAATTTATATACGAGAATTTCAAAAGATAATATTCTTAAGGGTATTACAACCTGCAAATGATAAGTCATTTTGGGATGATCGTATTATATATACCACCATTCCTCATATGGAATTGAAAAATGGTCTAAAAGAAATAATCCACAATGCTTTTCAACATAAAATGGTAGCATACGCTATAAATTTATTATTTTGGGATACCAAACGGCATATTTTGTTAATAGTGAACAAAAAGGGAAAACATACTAAACAGAGAAGCAAGTGATCAGTATGCTGGAGTTTCTTATTGACAACATATTTGATGAACTTGGAGGTAGACTTTTCAACAAATTGTCGGCATTCCTATTGGAACGAACTGTGCGCCTTTACTTGCCAACCTCTTCTTATTTTCATTTGAGTCGTAGTTCCTTCATATGATTTCACATTCAGATATATTGATGTTCTTTCCATTAACAATCCAAAATTTTCAGATTGGGTTCCATTAATATATTTTCCAGAACTAGAAATAAACGAAACAACAGACACGGCTTCTTCTGCCTCATTTTTAGACTTATACCTCGAATTGACATAAGCAGTCATCTCAGTACCAGAATCTATGACAAACGAGACGATTTTCATTTTGAAATTTCCCCAACCTTAGCAGCAATATACCAACTTCACCTACATATGGGATATACATTTTCAAACTCATTCGGTATTCAAGAGCTTGCAGCTGCTACTCAGACTTTGTAAAACGTCACCAGTGTCTGGACAGAAAGTTAATCAACTAGGGATATGTCAAAGAACGTCACGTCCTTTTTTCTAAAAAAGTTCATCTGAAGATACCAAAGATCTTGTTGATAAATATTCCGTATCACCTCCACAAATAATACACCATGGTCTTGAAGTATAGATTCTAGGTAATGACGTTGTTTATCATCTTAGTAACGTGTTATAGTATTATTTTATTTGTCTTTGTAAATTATTACTTTTACTGCTTAGATATTTATTGGCAGTATCCTTTTAACGTGGGTCGGTACCTTTACATCCCGTCATTATGTTGTTGTGCTATGGTACATTTTCGTATTCTTTTCTTTCGTGTTTGCTAATGTGCTTTGTTTATATGCCTTTTTGTTTGTCTTTGTTGACATATTTGCTTGGTTTTGTAGCGATTAAGATTATAACACAATGTTGACTGCTGTACTTCTATTTTTTGTACATTTATACCTACTATGTCTGTTTGTTTTGTTCACACATCGTTGTCAATATAATGGAATTGTATGCGACTGTCATACAAGTGAGAGGTTTAGCTAACTGTTAAACCAGGTTTAATCCACCATTTTCTACATAAAAAAATGCCTGTACCAAGTCAGGAATATGACAGTTGTTATCCATTTGTTTGATGTCTTTGAGGTTTTGATTTTGCTAGTGGCTTACGGACTTTCCGTTTAGAATTGTCCTTGGAGTTCGGTATTTTTGTTATTTTACTTTTTTATTTTTTGTATACTTTGTAGTCAATACAAGTACATCGTGCTTTATCAACCATCCATTACGTTTTCAAGCAAAAATCATTACGTTTGATTAATCCACCATTTTCTACATAAGAAAATGCCTGTACCAAGTCAGGAATATGACAGTCGTTATCCATTCGTTTGCTGTGTTTGAGCTTTTGATTTAAGTATTTGCTTAGGAACTTTCCGTTTAGAATTTTCCTCGGAGTTCGGTATTTTTATTAATTTACTTTTTTTTCAAACCCCTGATACGTATTATGTCGTGTCTCGTGAGAAAAACACATACATTAGTTTTACTTGGGATTATATCAAATCAACAGCTAACTATTCTATTTATTAAACTATACGAATATTTATTTAACATTATATTTCGAACGGGTTCATTTGGTATTTGGGATGACTTTCTCGAGGACCGGTTGTTTAGCAAGTACCACAAGGAAATATGTGTGTAACTGAATTCAGTAATCTGAGATGGTTAACAGCTTCCGACATTTATGCCGATTGAATGTCACATATCTTATTGCAGGTAGATCAAATGTTAATATCAAGATACATTTTATTGGATTAATACTAAACGAATATATAAAGCTGTTCAAACAGTAATCTTATGTTACAATGGTTCTTATTTTTAATTCAATCTAGACATGTCAAATAATGTTACTATCATAAAAATCTCATTGGGCCTTAGCGTTATAATGTAACACAATGAAGAATCTGCTATTTAAGACCAGATATTAACAAAAGATGTGATATGATTGTCAATGAGATAACTCTCCACCAGAGACAAAATGACGTAGAGGGTTTGCAACTATAGGTGATCGTACAGCCTTCAACAAAGAGCAAACCTCATACCGGATAGCAAGCTATAAAAAGCCCCGAAATGACAAATGTAATAACAATTCAAGCTAACGGCATAACTAATGTACATTACAATAAACGAAACACAAATATGAGAAATAGCAACAATGGACAACCACTAGGTTATAACATCCTTTAAAGATAAAAAATGTTTAAATTACTTGTTTTATTTTCTGTTGCAACCTGATACGTATTCGTGAACTGAACATGTTATGTATAATTTCTTACAAATGAATTAAGAGTTATTTACCTAAACAAGGCAATGATTAAGTTAATCAACAGGAGGTTTGATATCAGCATATACATGGCGGCTATTACCATAATGGCCCAGTCGTATTCAACACATCTGTCAAGGTCTGAGTTTCTTTCCCATTCTGATTCAACAAATGTACAAGTACCATTGCTATTTGTTTCTCCTAATAAAAACACAACACTAAGAGCTAAGAAACTAATACAGAGGTATATTTTCAACTATGACCGCCTGTAGCTATATAGATGATAATGGTCAGGGTTAAATAGGTTACAATTTTTATGTTTATCAATTCATCAGAATAGACAGTTTATATTTGCTTTTCTGTCTTTTTGTCAGATGCGAAAGAAGTTTTCTATATATGGTGTATATATCAAATAATTTCAATTTTATTAAAGAACTCAGTCTGAATTCTTTTGTTAGAGAGAGGAACTATATCAGAGTTTTATCAAGCTTTAAGCTTATTCAATTGAGAATGAGCACGGTGTTTTTATTTCTATATGTTTGAAAAAGCACGTAATTAACTAGAGTTTGCTCTCCCCAAAAACCCCTTATTACACAATTCAACCCAGATAAAACAGTTCTTTGTATGTGTTTTATGACGCAAGAGGTATAAAAACAAAACCAGAAGGAACATATTTCAGATACGCAAATGCCTCTACAAACGTTATTCGTATAAACAATACATTTTCCTTTTCGTTTAAAAGAATTACGGTATCAATTTGCTTCTACGTACACACTACTTTTCATACAAATTATCGAAAGTACGCGTGTATATAAGTTGCTGTTACACTTTAATGTATGTTGAAAACATGATTACCATTCAGCATATCTAGAGATATTTCACCATAAAGTTGCCAATAAGGTAATGCCAAGATCTTCCATATTCGCCAATGCTCCACATCAGCTCCATATTTTGGCCACATATCACGATGATTAGGATACATATTCGAATGGTACATTACACCAGCACACACAACAAAAACAATCAGGATCCAACTAAATTGAAGCAGTTCTGAAAGCTACAACGTATGTTAGATGGTTTTATACCAATATTCTATACGGAGCTTTCGTTGAATGGTACAAAATTTCCAAAAATTCAGTACAAACTAAAACTAAATAAAAATACACAATTATTGTGTTCGGTATAATGTATATGTGACACATAGAAATATGTTCACTAAACATGGTCTTCTTCCGACCTGCAGTAAAACCATTGCCAAAGTGGGATGTCCGTATGTTGTGCGGGATGTTTAAGTTCGTATCAACATCCGGTCAGAAAGAAGAAATTAAATCTAATGCCTAGTGTAGAGAGAGTGCCACGCTTTCCCAACATTAAAAATATTTTCAACAACTCTTTGAGGGGTCCGAAGGGGGACTGTTGCAAGGCTGAATTTCTGTCCCTATCCAATACACTTATTTTCCGGTAGTATTCCAAATTATCCTTCAATCATTCCGATCTAACTCTATTTCAGGACCGATCTATTGTATTCATTAACTTGGTCTTGTCCTGAACATGTATGAAGTATTTGTCATAGTACATAAAGCAATCAACAATCGATCAATCAAAAAATCAATTAATACCAATTTGTCGTCGAATGAACAACTGGTTACTTACTTAATATGAAACCAGTTCATATGTTCAACAGTATACTCAAATGCATATTCTTTTGTTATGTTCTATTTTAAACGTGTACGCATGGATTCTTTTACTTCCATAACGCTGTGTATAGATTGTATGGCAGTACAATTAATGGTCTTCCCTTTGACTGTATCACATTGTTCAGCTCTTTACAAAAATAAGTTCGAGTATAACGCAAACGTTTGGTCAAACATTATAACATCAATGATAAGTCCGAGTCAAAGTTATTTAAGTTCAGGGCACGAAGCCGTGAAAATATAATTTTGTTAAGAGCAGAGCAGATTGATGAGTGCAGAGGGAAGACCAATATTGACCTACTATAATTATATAATTCATCTTTTTTTTTTACATAAGTTATTAATGTTATCACGGTTTATTCTTAAAAAATATTTTTTTCAAAAACAAAATACGACTCTGACTCTGAAAAACAGCAATAGAAATTATTAGTAATGTGAAAAACAAAGACAAATGCGTTTTTCTATGGCACTGGACACAGTGTAGGCGGTGTTGCCAAGATGTTACAGAAGCAGAGGCTCGAATCCCGTGAGAATAAAACAAACTTTTTTCAGATTTAACATTTGTATGGGCTAAATTTGAAACGAATTATACATATATATATAATGGTGTAAGCATTGTATAACTACGGGTTCTCCGATGGAAAATGACTTTCGTAAAATTGTTTCAAAATTTATGTTTAGACGTATATAATTCTTATATGAATTGCAAATTAGGGAATACGTTTAAATGAATGGTCGAGAGGCTTCCAGTAGTGGCGCTTAAAAATATTCATTTTTGATAGACGACGTTCACGAACTACTTTTTGTGACCAATGTAAACAAGATGGCGGCGATGTTAAACCAAACTGACTCGACGTAAAAAATATTTATTTTCACTTCGCGTTCATAGTTGAATTAAATGATTAACACAAAACATTTATTTTACTGATGATAAAATAAATTTTTAGTTTATTTTTTATTAGATTTCATTGTGTACATTTGTTTTGCGTTAACCAAAACATATATATGCACCAGTCCAATTCAATGATACAAATATATAATTTACGTTTGATATAGTTTAAGAGTGGGAAATTAAATTCATTATCTCCAATTTTAAAGAATTATAAGGATTAAACGTATGTTTATTGATGTATACACTGGACCAATTCACCCAAAAACAAATAAAGACTTTTTGGTGTATAAACTCGACCAATTCACTCACTAACAAACAAATACTTTTTGAGTGAATTGGTACAGTTTATACACCAATAACTTCCTTTAAAAAGGCGTTTCGTCTATATAATAAGATTAAAATTTGATGTGGCGGGATGGTAAAACAAAAATATTTAGTGTAAATGAGAAAGATAACAGCATTAAGAATACTAACAGGTCTTTTTGCCTCCCGCATTCTAAACTTTTTTCTTAGAATACGGAAGGCAAAAAGACCTTTTAGTATTCTTGATGCTGTTATCTTTCTTATTTACACACAATATTTTTGTTCTGATTATTTTCTTTATTTGTTTTCTATTTAAGAATTGAATGCTTCTTTTTTTAAATTTATTGGGGTGTAAAAGCGTTGACCGAAGTACATTCTAAAAGTGTGCGCCGGTCAACGCTTTTACACCTCTATCAAATTACTAAAAGAAGCATTCAATACCTATTATTACATTTGTTTGCTAGGATCATGAAAACACAATTTCTATCAAGTTTTTCTTTTATTTACCTGTGCACTTTATTGTGGAAGCTCGTGTCATCATGAATGTTACAATTCATTTTGAAATGAGGGTTAATTTCAGAATGACGCGAGATTGCTGTTAGCCAATCAAAATAACGTATTATAATGAAACATACATGTAATGTAATTATAAATTAATATTTAAATCGACTTTCACATTTTATGAATTTTGCTCTTAAAATACAATTATGATTGATATTAAAACGTAAACAAGTACAAATGTAATTTTCTGATTCATCTTAATATACATGAGGTGTGATCTCATTATCTATTATCTGTTCGTTCAGAGTGCATGCACCATCAAATATTCATTTTGTGCATTATTTGTTGCATATATAAGAAACAAAGCCATATTGATTTAACAAACGTAATTTATTTATTAGGAAAAGAGTAGGCGGCACTTTAAGTCGATTTTAAAAATACTAAGTGATTATTGCACAAGTTTTTTTTTTTAATTCATGATCAACACATGCATATTTACATTTCATGATTTAATTAGTAAGTGAATTTGTAAAAGTTTTTTTCTAACATTTATCAAGTGATTTGACCAGCAAGTTGTAATTTTAAATTGAACTCTGTATAGATTTACATCACATTATGCATTGCAATAAAAACGATAAAACTACTGATCAGTAACTCACATAAAAACCAATTTCTTTTATATCATAATGTCATCATTTTGTTATCTTGAAAAAAGAATCACATTCAAAGGATCTGCGAATTGTAAAATCTGAGATCGGTAGAAAAATAACAAATATGGTATTCCTCTGAACGTTGATGTATAAGTGTACACTTTTCAAAAAAATGTGGAAAACCTCTCTATTCAAATTGTCAGTGTAATATCAATCAAATAAAACAAGTGCAAAAAATATAAATTGGATGTAACATGTGTCTTCATTCAAATATAATTTTTTCATAAATATGTTGAATAGTATTGATATGACAAAACATATCGCACTTAACAAATCAGGACTGCAGCACCCTTTAACTGATTCTTTTTTCAAAAAGAGCATTACTTGTCTTTCTTCCACATTTGACCGTCTTATAGACATACTAGTTCATTTGAATTTCTGAACAGATGTCAAAAGTTCTGTTCTAAAGATTATTTTTAAAATACTAACTTACCATTTTGCCAATCATTATCAGTTTAAGACCAAAATACTTATGAACCATAAAACTATGAAAAAATCTCATATAAATTATAAACAATCCAAGGCTGTAAAGTCTTATTTCCCATCGCTGGCCCCCATCGAAAGTACGAACAAGTACAGCAGATACAAGTACTGCATACAACAGCAATGCCAAAACACTCCAGATGTTAGTCAGGTAACATTTCAATCGAAACCATTTACGAGATTGGCGTCCTCGCACTGTTATCAGAATGTTTCTCTGGAGAAAAAAACAAGTGATCAAATGTAGTTGTACAAATGCTATGTTTTATACTGAGGCTAGAACACTTCCTGTTGTCGTTATATACAAACTATCTTAATAAAGTTCGTGCAATGTCGATTTCATGTCATGTTACTTTTTTTCAAAATTTGGGGTTCGTTTGGGGATGAAAATACGTTTTAATTTGAAGTCAACATTTTCAAAATTATTAGTATAGCAATTTATTGCTGCACAGTATACATAGTAGGTTAATGTCACGAAGCAGTAAACCTCGCCCTTCCACAGTTTCTAAGCCTCATAAAAATTTTGTCCGACATTGACCTGATACTGTATATTTTTTTTTATAAATTGACTCGATTGTACTATAAATTCAAACGGACCATCGTATTTTGTCAAAATTTATAGATGGTTTAAAGCAGTATACATGTAAAGATTAGAGCAGTCCTAATAATATAACTGTTACCAATTTAACTGCACTACATATACGTTTCGACGATGAATGTCTCCTCAGTGATGTTCAAGGCCAGCATATTTGAAAGTTGAAAACTTGGCTTAGGTGGCTGACCAGAACAACGAAACCTTTTTTGTAAGGATTGATTCAATCCTGTGAAGAGAGCTAAACCATGAAACTCCCCTCGTCTTGACCAGACCTGACAACAGTTTGACATTTGACATGTTTGGACGAGAGACTTTTGAAAAAAAATGTTCTTGACATATGGGGATGACAATTTCCTTTACAAGCAAACATCATTATTAAGAATTCAGTTAAAAGAACTTCTGTGAATTCATATTTTTAAGGCGCGTATTTAGTCGTGGTTTGATAGAAACACGAGTTTTCCGAAGTATAGGACAAAATGAGATAACTTTAGCATATCTAAAATAATTTTCCAATTTTTTCGAAGTCGCGTCGATGTGGTCCAAAAAAGACAGTACCGATAAGTCATAATTGTTCCTGAAACGAAAAACTAACAAGTTAAAATGTTTACTATAAAACATTCATTTGATTAAAGAATATCTCCCGTTTTGTGTAGCTTCAGTATCGCAACAACATATATAATTGTTATCAATACATTTACATATTCTGAAGGCTAAATAATTCTTAAATGACTTATAGACATTAGAACAATTACCAATTAGTTACTGTATTATTTTTGTTCATCGAACATTACCCATCAATGTAAGAGTTTGAACGGGAGGACATGCTCACATCATTAGATGCAACAGATGTCCCGTATTATGTCATCGTTGTTCATGGTTTCGTGTTGCCGCGACTTTAGTTTTGTTAGAAAGGCTTGTTGACATTTGTCATTCCTTGAAAAAAAATGATTGGTCATTTTAGATCTGTTTTAACCTGTTTTAAAGATATAGTTATAACCTCAAGCAGTTAAGTGTTGCAAAATAACAAATTGTTAAGCCAAATAATGTTTTGACCACCGTTTTAAAATTGAGTAGCACGGCGAGTTTTTAGCTACATATAATTCAGCTAGCTCGTCTCCAACAATTATATCATTTCACAAAAAAGAATTGGAAGCGTTTTTCAGTATTCATCAGAATGGTGTCTATTGGTTCCGATAAGTTATTCTATGAACAGTAAAAACAATTTTATACATACTATAATTTCTTCTATCGCATCTGCAGTGATCCATAAATACAGTAGTAGTTCATACAATCCGATGTCACTGAAGGCTTTTACACCTTTGACGTTAGATAAGAGGAATGCACTGTAGGCTCCGAGTATACCGAGCATTAAAAGCTACAGAAAGAAAAATATACATTTCATACGTATATGCTAACAAATACGAATTAACGTTCTGTCAATCAAATATTGGCGGTAACTATGCTAAGCACAAAGCATTTTACATTTCCAAAACATAAATACATGGATGTTTTCAGTAGGATTTGCATATCTGTTAATGTAAAGGAATCGTTGAATTTTACAGACCAGAGAGCGATTCCTTTTTGTTTGAAAATATTTTGAGGAGATAGATGCAAAATGTTGATCCATGTAAACCATACTACCAGCTTTAAAATCCAGTAGAACATTTAGTTGCAGAAGAGTTCAACGTTATGATTAAAGTGAAACATTTTTCAACCAATTGTGAAGGTATTCATCCTATCCCAGCAACAACACACCTTGGCGAATGGACCTCCCCTTTTCCAAATACATTTTTCGTCTTTTGTGTTTTTAAAGGATGGTTTTCTTTTCTTATTTTCCACGTTCCCGAGCGAATGTGCCATCAACAGGAAATAAAATCAATTGGCTGTTGATTCACACACACACACACACCCCTTTCCCCTTTTGTGTATATATTTCAAACTTTTATCCTTCGTAAATATTTGCAAATTTAATTTTGAAAAAAATAGACATACTTAATTTTTATATTGATTTTACATGTTTATCTCTGATCCAGAGTATGAGAAGTTTGATGAGAGGTCAAGGGTTTCCAAATATCTTATGTTCATTTCAAAGTATAAACCATATGCCTGACTTTTCTGTATTGGCAAAACCTTTCAGAATTTTGGGTCTTAAATGCTCTATAACTTTGTACGATATTTTCCCGTTTTAACGTTTTTTGATTCGAGTGTCACTAATGAGTAGTTTGTAGACGAAATGCGCGTCTGGCGTACACAATTTTAATCCTAGTATATATGATGAGTTTATTTGCATTTGAATAATACATTGTATTTTCATTAATTTTTCTTACATAGTGAATCATAAACACCATCGCCGGAGATGTCCATGCTGCACTGCGCTTGGATTTATCAAAGCAAAACAATTTCTGTAAAATCAAAATTAATGTCAGATTAATTAATGCTTGTTATATAAATGTTCACTTTTTCAAAGTCATCAACTTGTGAATAATAATCCTGACGCAAAGAGGTAGAAACAACTTCATTTAATTTACTTCATAAAGAACTAATTAATTAATTAAAGGTTTTCATGTTTTACTGAATACACATTATGACAGCTACATATATGCGATTTGATGTTGTGTAAACTTCGTATTCCAAAAGACGTATTAAAAATTGTTCGAACAACTATTTTGTATTTTGATAACTTTTATATTTTGGATGGACGTCCATAGAAAAAATGGCAATATTAGAATTGGCATGAGTATTGATTTTCATTGTCTGAACTATTTATACAAGGTGTCTGCAAATCTTAAATTAAAGTAACACACATCGAATCTTATCATTATGCAACTTGTTTAATCATTTCAGTGCACAGGGTACATGTTTTGAGCTGACGAACAATATAAAACATATAAGCCTGGTATCTATGAGGAGTGTTTTCGATGTGCAGCAGGTAAAACATCACAGAGAGTGGAGGTTATACTCGTATTTATCACAGTTGTTTTATATTAAAATATCCAGGGGCAACGTTTATGATTATGGTAACGGATAAAGAATGTCATAGTCACACAAAGATACAGAACATTATCGTTCAAAGGGCTATTTTGCCGACAAAGGTTTTTTTTATCACCAAGCCATGTAAATTGTTTTACTTTGGAGATGTACTATCATTGTCAAAAAGACAACCATCCACCAGTCCAAAGACGTAAATTTAAGCATTTTTATGCAAACTTACGGCCTTTAATTATGAGCAAAACCTAAACCACAAAGACAGCTATAAAAATGGGAAACAGCCTGATTCGAGAAAAAATCATTTACAAAAAACAAATATGATATTTCATTTTAAAGTACTGTTTGCACTTCGACGAAGCATGCTTCGCATTAAGTTTCATGAAAAATCTACAAATGACTTATTAAAAAATAAATTACAAAATTAATGTTCTATATTTCAGATAGTAAGTGAGGTATATTTTTTCCAAGAACAGTGTTTGTCTTGTAAAGTCTTCTCTTGACGAATTTTAACCATTTTCATCCTTACAAGTCCAATTTTCCGTTAAGTATCAAATATATGTGTAATGAGTTGGATGTCTCTATATATCTAATAATTTTTATGTTTTGTTGTTGTTATTTCTAAAACGGTCATTATTCACTCAAGTATCAAAATATTGCACAATTAATTTCAGAATTAAGCCTTTTAATGGTTTCAATCCGGCGTTTTAAGAGACGTCACGTATCTGTAAAATAGGTAAAATATATGAACAGGAATAGTGATACAAATGTTAGATCTTTGAATTATTTCCTACATCGGTACTGCTATCAGTCTGCAAACAGTTGATTGACATGTAACTGTGGGTTTTGTTTGCAGAAGAAAACAAAATGGCGGAGACAAAATTACCGTTAGCCAATTCCGCCACATCGATGCTGTATCTTTGTACCAAACTCTATTTAATAATCTCTGAACGCAAGGATGTCCAATCACATCAATCATCCCATTATCAAATGCACATTCTACTGGAGCTACGCGAATTCCCCAAATTCTGCTTTCAGTATTCATTAAACTCATACAGCGAGTAGCATCCTCTTCATATAGGGAATTCATCAGGAAAAGGGCACGTTTTTCAAACAATCTGGAATGCAATGGAAATTCAGGGTAAATGTCAATTATTATTTAATGAAATTGAATTACAATGATAGATTATACAGTTATCAATTATGAACGATTTTGCATGCGAATACAACTATAACATTGACTTGATGATTTGTGTGTTTCAACCTCAGACACACAAGAATGCGTGCTTTTATCTTCTTACTACTTGTTTGTGTGTTATTGTTATCAATTTATCTTGATCTCTATGTTAACTACTATACGGTCACGATCCTTTTTTAACATCGAACTACGTAGTCATACATAAATGATTTAATGATATCAATGATTAACACATTTATGATTTAAGAAAAGGCCAATCATTTACATTGTTATAAAATATCGTCAATATTGTAAACTGTTGTATTTCGTTGATCCAAGAAGAATAAAAAAATAGTCCATGTAATTTTAGAGGGAATATTACTCGTAGAAAATTGAGAATGGAAATGGGGAATGTGTCAAAGAGATAACAACCCGACCATAGAGCAGACAACAGCCGAAGGCCACCAATGGGTCTTCAATGCAGCGAGAAACTCCCGCACCCGGAGGCGTCCTTCAGCTGGCCCCTAAACAAATATGTATACTAGTTCAGTGATAATGGACGTCATACTAAACTCCAAATTATACACAGGAAACTAAAATTAAAAATGATACAAGACTAACAAAGGCCAGAGGCTCCTGACTTGGGACAGGCGCAAAAAACGCGGCGGGGTTAAACATGTTTTTTGAGATCTCAACCCTCCCCCTATACCTCTAGCTAATGTAGAAAAAAACAAACGCACAACAGTACGCACAGTAAAACTCAGTATAAGAGAAGTCCGAGTCCGATGTCAGAATGGGAAACAAAAGAAAATAAAGAAAATGACAATAATACATAAATAACAATGCATGTTTGCAATTTATTGGTCCAGGTATGCCATTGTAAAATAATGAACATATTAACATTATAAATTATTCGCGTTCGAAACGATTTCTTAGGCTAACGTCACCTTTAGTCTTTTACTTGAAGTTATTGTCGTAATACTTTAATATAAATATGATTTTCGATCAATATGTTCTTTTATCGAACTCATGCAAAGTTCTAATCACTTTCCCAGCCATGGCTACACATGTTTTCCCTTTGATTTTATTAGCTCTTCAATTTTTATATAAATTATGGATTTTCAAATAGTTTCGCCTCGAGAATCACTGAAGATAAATTTATTGTCGAAATGCACGTATGGTGCAGTATATTTGTAGCATTAATGGTATTGTTACAACAGTCGCCTAACCTTCGGGAAGATAGCAAATTGCACAAGGTCATAAGTAGGTTAAAACAATGCGATACTGCGATATGTAAACACTACCTTTCTTTACCCAATTTCACATAAGATAGAATGAACACCTTTCATCAGGTTTCAAACTATAGATAAAATATTATATATATTTATTTTTAGAAATGCATGCACATGTAAACTACGAACTGATTTCAATACATTTATACTAATTTATATATTATTATATTAGTATGTCAAGGAGAGGCGAAAGATACCAAAGGAATATTCAAACTCGAATGTCGAACACAAATTGACAATGCCATGACAAAAAACAAAAAAAGTCCAAAGGACAAACAAAAGTACACAAAACACAACATAGAAAACTAAAGACTGAACAACAGATGCTCCGGATGGGTATGCAGATCCTGTTCAGTCTAGCTAAATGAGAGAATTTAAGCTACATTTCATACACTTGTTTGTTTTGTTTGTAATACTAATAATAGAACTTTTCAACAACTGTCTACACATAAAGTTGACAATACGCCAACAGGTAAAAAGGCTTACAAATTATGGGATTGTTTAAAAACAAGTAATTATCGTATAGAATAGAGTAGAATAGAATATTTTTATTTCCCAAATTACAGGGCCCATAAAGGGCATAAATCAGTTACAATTGATTGACATAATTGATAATTACAACAATAAACATCACAATGTACATCCTCACTATACTAAATATTTTCTTTTTTAAAACAATCTTTTATAGAAAAATAAGTACCAAGCTTCCCTTTTTCTGAGTTAATTGTTTGATACTTCAGTCTATTCCAAAATGTTAAATAACTTTCACATAGTTTATTTTTAACATACTTACATAAAGAACCAATTGATTGGTCAAAATTTGGTAATTTAATCTCTTTCTGAATATAATCTATACTAGAGTACCATGTATTAATATTAGAAATATGTAATTGTTTACAACATATTATTGCATCAAATAATAATCCTTCTTTCAAACCTTCCAGTCTATGACAATATTTTTACATTGATAAAATAATAGTTAAATAAATAGGAAATCTTCCAAGCTCTGACATCATAGCTATGTTACTGGACTTTCTGTTTACACCAAGAATATATTTCGTAAATTTATTATTAGCTTTGTCAGAACAATCCTGACCAAAAACTTTTTCTAATATATAATCATTATTTTTTTTTTACATGCAGCTGAATAAGTACGAAACCTTTCCCATATTTCACTGCCATATAATAATATGGGTTTAATTGTATGATCATACAGATGTAAAATTGTGGCAATACTAGGGTTAGATGATGACAAGCATCTCTGCATCTAAGTACATGTTTTTAAAGATTTGTTGTATAATTCATCTTAACACTGCTTGAATATACTACTAGATGTAATGTGATCCCAAGATATCTATATAATGTTGCAATTTCTATCTATTTACCTCCTAAAAAAACAGCATTTTTAAAACTTTCCTGGTTTGTTAAAATTATATTTTTTGTCTTTTTTAGATTAACATCAAAACACCATATTTTACAATATTCATGTAACATATAATTCTCTTTTGCAAACCGTCCTGTGTTTCTGAAAATATCACTACATCATCAGCATACATAAGACGATTATTAGTATTTACCGGATCAGGACATGTTAAAAGCTTGTCCGGTAGATCATTGATAAATATTTTTAAAATATTTGGGCTTAAAACATCAAATTGTCTAACCCCTATAAATGATTTAAAACATGGGGTCATTTCTTCTGTGTTGACATGAATTATCATTGATATGGTCATAATTATAAATTAACTGTTAACAAAACTTTGAATTTTTGAAATACTAAGGCTTTTTTCTCCGAGAAATAGATTACCTTAGCTCGATTTGGCAAAACTTTTAGGAATTTTTGGTCCTCAATGCTCTTCAACTTCGTATTTTATTTGGCCTTTTTAACTGTTTTTTATTCGAGCGTCACTGATGAGTCTTTTGTAGTCGAAACGCGCGTCTGGCGCAAATACAAAATTTAAATCCTGGTATCTATGAGTTTTTTCATTATCAATTTTAACACAGAGGTCACTTTTTGTATACATATCTTTAATGATAGAATAAAACTTTCCAGTAATTTATTTGTTAATAGCTTATATCTGACACCTTCATGAATCACTTTATCAAAAGCCTGTTTACTATCTACAAAACAGGCAAATAGTTTACCCCCTTTGTATTAATATATTTATCAATAATGGTTTTCAAAAAAAACATGATCAGATGGTCTACATTTTTTTGAAAATCCAATTTGACATGGATTAATTAATGATTTTTTTATCAAAAATTATCAAGTCTGTTATTCAAACCAGAGTTAAATAATTTACTAACACAAGAATTAATGGCAATGCCGCGATAATTATCTGTTTTACTTGGATCACCAGACTTAAAAACAGCAGATACATAAACTGATGACCACTGCATCGGATATATGCCGGATGAAAAGACATGGTTAAAAAGTTTCTGAATTAAGGGATTTAGAACTAAACTTCCTGCCTTTATCATCTCATTATGTATACCATCCAGACGTAAGGCTTTTCCACATTTGAGTTTAGATATTGATTCAAATATATCTTTAGCAGAGAATCTATAATCTAATTTACAGAAGGGTTTTCCCCCAATTTATTCTATTTTAGAATTAATTTCTTTAATTCTTTTCTCACTCATTGAAGGAGATTCATTCAAAATTGAAAAATGATTAAATCAGGTTTCTGGTTCTACTGATTTTTCTTTACTATCATCTGTAGACTCCTTCAAAGAATTAATAAGTTTCCAGTACTGTTTTGGATCAGAATCTCTTAAATTATCAAGACCATTTAAAATAGACTGTTTAAATGTACGCATTCTATATTTACGCAATTTATTATATTCTCAGTAGCATTTATAATATGACCCTCTGATGATAGGATCAAACGGAAATTTTATCAATAATTCACCTTTTGATACTAGAGTTTTCCTCTTTACACCTAAATCAGAAAATATGAATATAACTTGTTTAGTTTAGTTTACTGTCTTCAACAAATGTTTCCCTTCTGTCTGTTTTCCTTACCACAACCATATTTTTTAATTAATTAGTCAATAAATTTGTTTGTTTTATTTGAGTATTAAGAAGAGGCCAGAAATGTAATCAATATTTCATTCATCTTAAAAACCGATGAAATGCTAGTTTCCTTGATAAAATTACAAAATAAAAAAAAACTGTATTTTAGTATTAAATGTTTATCAAAACAATTGTTTACGTCAATGGACTAAGGCTGCGCATATCTTTGCAATGTTAATTTTATTCCGTTTGCAGTAAAAATTATAATAAAATTTCGGCATTTTCCTTCATATTTTTAGCTAACTATTGATCTGAGGTGTTGCAAATAGTCTTGGAATCTCTTCCAATTCGCTGCATTAATGTAAATTGTTGGGCATTATTCTGATTATCGGCCAAGAAGCTTGCGATAACGAAAAAAACACTGACAAAGATATTGCCGAAATCGTGTGACAACAAACCATAGTTTCAGTGAGAAGTTTTACCTTCTCCAAAAAAGTCTTTAATAACAATTAACTTTCTAGTAACGTGTTACAGAGACGCAGAAAAACCCAAAGAGATATAGTCAAACTCATCAGTCAACGAAAAACTAACAACCCCATGGCGAAATACTAACAAAAGACTAGCAACAGTATACAAAACACAACATACGAAACTGAAGACTATGCAATACGAACCCTCCATTTAGCCCAATTTTTGATTTTGTCAGAGGTTATGAACTTCTCCTTTTTGAATTTACCTTGGAGTTCGGCATTTTTGTTGTGTCTTTTTTATAATCTTTAATCAATGAAAACAATATATTTAGTTTGATAACATCACCTTATTTTGATGGGGGATAAATATATAAGAAACCGTTCAAAATTAATTGAGGTATATATGGTGGTGTGTGATTAATCTAAATAAAAGGCTACTAACGAGTTGATTCATTTGTGTTCATTGTATACTATTTAGAGCGAGCAAAATCGTTTTAAAGAAGGTTAACGTAAAAGGTACACGAATAATAAGGAATAATGAGAAAATGCGTAATTTGGTGTTGTTTCTGGTTTACTGATAATGGAAGATTAGTTGTATACTTGGAAATGCAAGTACATCTGTAAAAGTAGTGGTTCTGTTATGTACATTAGCTTTGTAAGAGGGGTCGGTTCTTGGGTAGTTGAGTATGGTATGTTATATCGTCCAGTCAGCTTGTTAATTTCAGTTATCTTTTATATGTTATTGTGTCTTATGAGTGAGTAAAGATGCCCATTGTTTCATTGTGTTAGGTGTATAATTGAAAGTGTGTGTGTAACACATGCTACTTAAAACTCACCTTGAGTGTTTCAATAGATCATTGTTAAGTTTAAGATCGTTTGCAGTATTAACCATGTCCGCCATTGTTCTCAGTATGCTGCTGGCCATAATTGCTGTTACTGTAAGATATGAGTGTTGTTATGTGATGCATAATTCTAATGTTGTATATATAAAGGTTGGTAGGTATTTTGCAGATGTCCAGGAATAAAACAATTTTTGGTTGTCCTTTAACATCAATTTGGAGCAAAAATTAACAGATATCAAGCATATCATTACGTCCTTGTCTTTGAAAATTCTTCAGTGTTTTTCTATGTAATGTGTACATATTTTATCTAATATTATAAAATATGCATTCGACAATTGAGTTTTTCCAGAGACATGGAATGATATAGTCATTTATCATATACTTGTATAAAATATTACTAAAATTTTACTGTTCAATAACATTTAAAAATATTAAAAGGCTATGAAAGGATTACTAGGTTTATTGACCAGATTCCTAAGAATTTCCTCAGCGGGCTGATAAAGGAACCTTTATTGACTGCTTCCGGAATGTTATCACATGCCTTTCCGTTAATTTCCGTGACGTTTATCACATGCAACTTCGTGCATTTCCGGAAATTTGTTCGAAAACGACAACACAGTGCGGAAAACCGCAAGTGATTTAAGACTTTTCACAAAATGGTTGAGGAGCAAATTTCAAACTAAGAACATGTTAATTGTTGTGACAAGACAAATAAAATGCTTGTAATATCAATAAAAACAATAAAAGTTAAGACATTTGTATATGGTTGTCTGTAAATTATTATCTAAAAATTCATGGAAAGACAAAATTTTAATTAATAGTTCTTGTCTGTATTTCTTCTGTTGAAGTATATGATAAAAAGATAATTACATGTCATTTATCATATCAGACCCTTTATCGGCCCTCGTTCATGATATCAGCCCTCGAGCCTGCGGCTCTTGGGCTGATATCATGACCTAGGGCCGATAAAGGGTCTGATATGAAAAATGCCATGTAATAATCTATACTAATCAAATATTAAATCCATCCTATTGTGGTCCTGTGAGTTATCAAGGGATATTCTGTTGTCAATCCACTGTAAGATATGTGTAAATATTATTAACACACTTGTATTGGCCTGGTAAGAGGAAAACAAATCTAGCTGATCACCAGAATGGTTTTAAAAAGGATCGTGGTTGCATCTAAGTTCAACATTAAATACTCCCTTACATTTATTATAACTTATAAAAACAAATCGAAAGACGTTCAACACGTTTGCTTGGTTCATTGGTGCAATTAGGCTTTCGACTCTGTAAATGGAGAGATGATGTGGGGTCAACCAATGTCAATAGGCATTTATGGAAAGTTTCTGAGAGGATTACAGTCGGTTATATGACCGATATGTTTAGCATAAATATGGTTGAGAAACAAGGTTGCAAATAACCAACTTCATTATTCTCAGTGTATGTTAACGATCTTATTAATGAAACAGTCAACATCAAATCCCTTCAACTGAAGTTTTATGTAGTCAATAATTGGTGTTTATTGCTAAGTTGAGATTGAATGTAAATTTTGAAAAGAAGTCGGGAAGTGGAGCACTCTCCACACATTTTACAAAATTCTTTTTTGATGTGGCGGTATGGACTATCACTTCTTTACAAATCTATATGAAAGGCTTTTGGTCATTCCCATGTACTGGAATCCATTCAAAAATGTTAACTTATGTATTTGATAAACGCTAAAAAAAACAATTTAAAGTCTGTTTTGCGAAGAACAAATTCATTTATTCATAGGAATTTAGTTCATTTGTATGAATTAGATGCAAGTGTTCATCTTTTTATAATGGTATTGATTAAAAATATTTCAAACTATTAAGAATCCCTCTCACAATTTCATGGACATAATTATAGTAGAAACTATTATCAGGAACAGTATTCCACAGTAAATGAATTACACTTTGAAATACTGTCCCGTTCAATAAAAAAGAATTTCAGGGAGAAAGACATTATTTCATGCAATAATGATCTGGTCAGTACTTCCCAGTATTTCAGATATAACAGTTTGACTGCGGACAATACTACGTATGCAATTGTTACGAAACATATCATACACTAATCTCCAAATGCTAATAAGGGGCTTTTTCGGCTTAGGACAAGCCCAAACCCCTTAAACGCGATTTCTAAAATGCAAACACTGTACAAAGCGATTTGACTACATGCTTGGTTAATGACAACTAATGGAGAGAGGTGCAGGGAAATAAACTAGTTTTGGACGATCATACTTATCTGTTGCCTTCGATAATTAGCGCAACAAATAAACACCCAAAGTTGTTTGTCCAATATATTTTGTTTCCAGTATCCATATATAAACAAGAACAGTTTGAGAGAGAATGGCATAACTGGCACTTTTTTGTTTGTTTTTGTTTTTATTGAGAACAAACACACACAAATGCATGACGCTTTCTCAAAATTTGTTTCTGAAACCTATAAATCTTGCAATTGACTTGCCATCTGTTCCTTCCTTTTATTTCCTCAATTTAAGTACCACAAATGAAGTGATATAAAGAGCAAAATTACAATGACCAAAATATTTTTTTTCCGGACAAAATTGTACTCAGTTTGTTTTTCTTCCACATACATGTATTTGATTTTGTCTTTTTTTTTAATATTCAGAACATCTGTTGTTCGACCTGTTAGTCAAATGCGTTTTGTTTAAATATACTTGTTCACTTTTTTGGTCTTTTGGAAAATGTTGTTTGTGCTGAATTTAGACCCCTCTATCAAGAAATTTGTTTTGCATGCACACGTATAAAAATTGCGGTTTTTATCCAATGCAATGATAGGTTTGAACGTTGTTTTCAATTTAGACTTGTTTATATTTTTTCGTTTGGGCCTGTATTATATTTTCCTTCGGGTTTATATGATCCCTTCATCCTATTTCTAATATTTCGACTCTTCAAAATTCAAGAGTCTATCCTAAATTGAGGTAAATTATATGGCCTTCCAAATACCGTTTCGATCCCTAACATCACTGAAGAGACATTATTTGTCGAAATCTGGATATAGTGTACTAATTTTTGCACCTTTTGTTTGCGGTATACCATCTTTTCCGCAAGTTCATTGTTTTCTGTTTGGTGTTAAATTAATAATTTTAAAAGATCCATTTTGTAACATCTTGTGATCCGTTTATTTGGCAATCGCCAATGGCAGTCAGCAGGGTTTAAGAACATCTGTTGTTCGACCTGTTAGTCAAATGCGTTTTGTTAAAATATACTTGTTCACTTTTTTGGTCTTTTGGAAAATGTTGTTTGTGCTGTTATAGACCCCTCTATCAAGAAATTTGTTTTGCATGCACACGTATACAAATTGCGGTTTTTATCCAACGCAATGATAGGTTTGAATGTTGTTTTCAATTTAGACTTGTTTATATTTTTTCGTTTGGGCCTGTATTATATTTTCCTTCGGGTTTATATGATCCGTTCATCCTATTTCTAATATTTTGACTCTTCAAAATTCAAGAGTCTATCCTAAATTGAGGTAAATTATATGGCCTTCCAAATACCGTTTCGATCCCTAACATCACTGAAGAGACATTATTTGTCGAAATCTGGATATAGTGTACTAATTTTTGCACCTTTTGTTTGCGGTATACCATCTTTTCCGCAAGTTTATTGTTTTCTGTTTGGTATTAAATAAATAATTTTAAAAGATCCATTTTGTAACATCTTGTGATCCGATTATTTGGCAATCGGCAATGGCAGTCAGCAGGGTTGAAGAACATCTGTTGTTCGACCTGTTAGTCAAATGCGTTTTGTTAAAATATACTTTTTCACTTTTTTGGTCTTTTGGAAAATTTGGTTTGTGCTGTATTTAGACCCCTCTATCAAGAAATTTGTTTTGCATGCACACGTTTAAAAAGTTGCGGTTTTTATCCAACGCAATGATAGGTTTGAACGTTGTTTTCAATTTAGACTTGTTTATATTTTTTCGTTTTGGCCTGTATTATATTTTCCTTCGGGTTTATATGATCCGTTCATCCTATTATACCGCAAACAAAAGGTGCAAAAATTAGTACACCATATCCGGATTTCTACAATTAATGTCTCTTCAGTGATGTTAGGGATCGAAACGGTATTTGGAAGGCCATATAATTTACCTCAATTTAGGATAGACTCTTGAATTTTGAAGAGTCGAAATATTAGAAATAGGATGAACGGATCATATAAACCCGAAGGAAAATATAATACAAGCCCAAACGAAAAAATATAAACAAGTCTAAATTGAAAACAACGTTCAAACCTATGATTGCGTTGGATAAAAACCGCATTTTTTTTACGTGTGCATGCAAAACAAATTTATTGATAGAGGGGTCTAAATACAGCACAAACAACATTTTCCAAAAGACCAAAAAAGTGAAAAAGTATATTTTAACAAAACGCATTTGACTAACAGGTCGAACAACAGATGTTCTTAAACCCTGCTGACTGCCATTGTCGATTGCCAAATAAACGAATGACAAGATGTTACAAAATGGATCTTTTAAAATTATTAATTTAATACCAAACAGAAAACTATAAAATTGTGGAAAAGATGGTATACCGCAAAAAAAAGGTGCAAAAATTAGTACACCATATCCGCATTTCGACAATTAATGTCTCTTCAGTGATGTTAGGGATCGAAACGGTATTTGGAAGGCCATATAATTTACCTCAAGTAAGGATAGACTCTTGAATTTTGAAGAGTCGAAATATTAGAAATAGGATGAACGGATCATATAAACCCGAAGGAAAATATAATACAAGCCCAAACGAAAAAATATAAACAAGTCTAAATTGAAAACAACGTTCAAACCTATGATTGCGATCGATTGAAACCGCAATTTTTATACGTGTGCATGCAAAACAAATTTCTTGATAGAGGGGTCTATATATATATATATATATATATTATATATATATCTACAATCTATGACATTGAATTTTATAATGCTATTATACTTACGTAAAGGGTTTTCACATTTTGACCACAAAATGGAGGCTAAATCTTCCCTCTGTGCAAATATCGCCCATGCTAACAAAACGTGATACGGTTTGAATTCGTTGCGTTCTAATTAAAATGAAAGGAGAAAAGCTTTACATTTACAACACAATTCAATTACATGTTTAATGGTCAATGCATATGACCAGATTACACCGTCTAATTTTGTTTCGTTATCAAAGGGAAAACAAATAAAGGAACCAGTAGTATACCGCTGTTCAAAAGTCATAAATAGATTGAGAGAAAACAAAATCGGGTTACAAACTAAAACCGAGGGAAACACATCAACTATAAGAGAAAACCCACGAACAACAGAAGCAGTTTACCTTTAACTAAAGTCTGTGTTGAATGAGAGTGTATTCATTTTCTATGCAAGTATGTTTTTTAGGAAATAAAATTTAGGGTTCATCAGGAAATTTATATCTGGCAGTAAATAATTGTGATAATCGATAATATATGATACTACCAGCTGTTTCCTGTGTACTGATCCTACAGCAGGTTGATACACCTGAACATCGTGTCTGTGCTTGGTCTCCATAAGAGTCTAAAAAACAATATGCAATACATTTATATGAAGAATATTTTTAAATATATCGAGTCAATTAGCCTGGCATATTTTTTGTACTGACACAAAAACTTTGCACGTCTTATTCCTGTAAATACAGGTTAAGGGATGTAAACTTCGTGCAAACCTAAATATAAACCACTGTAATGACGTTGCTACATAACCAATATCACAGACGTTTTTAGCATTTACGTAAAGCCTCACATGAACCCAATTAAAAATATACAGTATGTGCTTGTTGTAGGGTTTGTGTTAGTTTTATCTTTGGTATGTCGAGTATTCACTATTTGTTTTGGATTGTTTAATTGTTTCTTCGTTTAATTTTGGTCGTTATGTTTTGGGTCTTTCTTCGACTTCTGGTTGTTGTCCTTTTTTCATTTGCATTTTTCTTTTTTTTTTCATATATCTTTGTGTTACTACAGATATAATCTTCTAAAAATAATTAGATCCGCTCCTGAATTTGCACTGGGTTACTAATGACTAGGGAGTAATGTTTGTGACTCCTCGTTTATGTTCAATGAACTAATCAATTTAAACATTTCGTTTGTGTTGAAAATAACAATTGCAGATTGAATGGTATCGTATAAGTGAAAGGTTGATTAGAGGTAAATATAAATAAGACAGCAGCTATATACACAAACCGCTACAAGCAAAGTTAGTTATTGGTCTATATGTGTACTTGGATTAAAAACAAGGATAATTTTCATTTGTAATGCGCTAAAGATGTAAATAAATTCAACAGAGATATTTCCTGAAAGGTCTGCCATCCATACCAATATCCTTTTTTAAGGAGAACTTCATTAATAACAATAGAATAAATTAAACTACAGTCGCATTATTTTAATTAGGAAATTCAAATTGATTAGAGGCAGAAAAATTATTAGATCCGCTCCTGAATTCGCACTGGGTTACTAATTACTAGGGAGTAATGTTTGTGACTCCTCGTTTATGTTCAATGAACTAATCAATTTAAACATTTCGTTTGTGTTGAAAATAACAATTGCAGATTAAATGGTATCGTATAAGTAAAATGTTGATTAGAGGTAAATATAAATAAGACAGCAGCTATATACACAAACCGCTACAAGCAAAGTTAGTTATTGGTCTGTATGTGTACTTGGGTTAAAAAACAAGGATAATTTTCATTTGTAATGCGCTAAAGATGTACATAAATTCAACAGAGATATTTCCAGAAAGGTCTGCCATCCATACCAATATCCTTTTTTAAGGAGAACTTCATTAATAACAATAGAATAAATTAAACTACAGTCGCCTTATTTTAATTAGGAAATTCAAATTGATTAGAGGCAGAAAAAATAATTAGATCCGCTCCTGAATTCGCACTGGGTAACTAATTACTAGGGAGTAATGTTTGTGACTCCTCGTTTATGTTCAATGAACTAATCAATTTAAACATTTCGTTTGTGTTGAAAATAACAATTGCAGATTAAATGGTATCGTATAAGTAAAAGGTTGATTAGAGGTAAATATAAATAAGACAGCAGCTATATACACAAACCGCTACAAGCAAAGTTAGTTATTGGTCTATTTGTGTACTTGGATTAAAAAGCAAGGATAATTTTCATTTGTAATGCGCTAAAGGTGTAAATAAATTCAACAGAGATATTTCCTGAAAGGTCTGCCATCCATACCAATATCCTTTTTTAAGGAGAACTTCTTTAATAACAATAGAATAAATTTAAACTACAGTCGCATTATTTTAATTAGAAAATTCAAATTGATTAGAGGCAGAAAAAATAATTAGATCCGCTCCTGAATTCGCACTGGGTTACTAATTACTAGGGAGTAATGTTTGTGAATCCTCGTTTTTTTCAATGAACTAATCAATTTAAACATTTCGTTTGTGTTGAAAATAACAATTGCAGATTAAATGGTATCGTATAAGTAAAAGGTTGATTAGAGGTAAATATAAATAAGACAGCAGCTATATACACAAACCGCTACAAGCAAAGTTAGTTATTGGTCTATATGTGTACTTGGATTAAAAAACAAGGATAATTTTCATTTGTAATGCGCTAAAGATGTAAATAAATTCAACAGAAATATTTCCTGAAAGGTCTGCCATCCATAACAATATCCTTTTTAAGGAGAACTTCCTTAATAACAATAGAATAAATTAAACTACAGTCGCATTATTTTAATTAGGAAATTCAAAGTGATTAGAGGCAGAAAAAACTACTGTTGTAAGAATTCAACCTTTCCTTTTTTAATTCGACCAGATTAATAACATGAATAACAAAAAGCATGGTTCAACATTTGCATGTTAAATACATGGAAATCAATTGATTCAATGTCATCGGTTTCAAATACAAAAAAATAGAAAAGTACAATTTATAAGTGAACTAAATGAATACAATTAATCAAATATGTTCGCAATTACTGAAAGCTATAGCATGTATAAAGGTAATATCATGTTGTTTTTGTACATTATACTATATGTTATTCGCGATCGGGATCTTCACACGTGATATGGACTTACATTTTCTGGATGTGTTTTATCCACCATTTTCTACATAAGAAAATGCCTGTACCAAGTTAGGAATATGACAGTTGTTCGCCATTCGTTTGATGTGTTTGGGCTTTTCATTTTATCATTTGATTAGGGACTATCCGTTTTGAATTTTCCTCGGAGTTCGGTATTTTTGTTATTTTACTTTATACCTCCTGAGCCGACAGACGAAAGGAATGTAGGACACTGACAAGGAATATGACCCATTTCCATTGTGCAGCCGGGAGATCATTTACAATTCTGATCTTCATTTTTGTTCACAGGGTATTTGGGCTCATATACCCGGTCAGGGTAACCAATCCAATAGCAGGATTAGTCGGGATATTTCACTCCTTTAATATAATTTTTTCAACTTTTCACCTTTTTGGCTGTTATCGTGGAAACTATAGACGCTAAATTAAACGAGAAATTGCAGAAAGGTCAGCACGACAAAATATATCTACTTTCAGAAATTGACAAAAAAACTACCTGTTTTAGATAATTTCTATAAAATTATTTTTGTCTAATTCTACAAAATTGTTTGCTATGTTTTTTTTTATTAAGCCCAACTACCTGTAATAAAGTACTTGCCCTTAAAATAACCATGTTTTCCAATTTTCTCAGTTTTTGCCATTATCTTGAGAACAGAAAACTGTATGAGCAGGTTAAAAGAGTTAATTGAAAAAAAAATATCAGCATGACATGATGTATCTACCCCGAATATTTAAGAAAATCTGACATCCTGTTTCGGAGTTGAGATAGTGTGTATGCACCAATTGCATAAATCAATAGCAACACAGAAAATGACTAGTATGCGCATTAGTAGACTGGCATTGATCACCAGGTAGGCGATATAGGTACAGATGTGCCTCTTGTTTTAAACAACACAATCATGACCATTTAAGTAATACCATCAGGCCGATTTTAAAATGATGCAGAATTTAGTAGTAATAGATACTTTTTAGCGTCCTATACTTTAGAAAAAAAAACTCAATTCAATTGACCTTTTGCAGTATCATTGTTAGTTTTCTTTCGACTTACATGTATCAATATTGAATGTCCTCCTTTTTTTTCATCCCCGCCTCTTGTTGAATAGATAAGAACGATAGTGCGTTTGTTTGCGCCAAATGTCTTATTCTGTATTTTTTTTATGTGTCTTTACTAAATGTCTCATATTTTCTGTTATGTTAAAAATACACAGTAAATGTGTATCCTCGCCGTTTATTTTAAGTAACTCTATTAAATGCTTGCCTTTCATCAGATATTTATTTACCTTTAGGATAATGCAGAAGTTTTTGACAGAGGTTACGCACGTTCTGTAGCAAATCACACAATTGGCGACAATTATGTGTATTATTAGTGAGAATGCCGTTATGTCGGCTACATTTACATGGTTGAGAATTGTTGTTACTGGAACTTGGCTGTCCATCCTTTTGACATTGATCATGGTATACTTCACATGTTTCTTCGTTGCAGAGCAGTCTGATTTTCTTGCAATGTTCGTAGCAAGTGCACCATATACCATCACAACATTTCATAGATACTCGCTAAAAGAAAATTAAGATCTATTTGTTTTTCGAAAAAATACCAATCATTCCAATCCTCATTTATTCAGGTATTTATGCATCCTTAGCTTTGGGTGTTCTTGATGAAGTTACATCCATAAAATCGCTTCGGACAAACGAAATTAATGAAGTATTCTTTTCAGTTACTAGTACCATGTCGATACCTCTGCAGGTGGATTGTTAATCACGAAGGTATCATCAACTCATTAATCAGTGCTGCGATAATGACATGGACCGTCATTCTAACACGATTTTGGTAAATTCTTCATTGATAAGTGAAGAAACTATGGAGAATATAGGGTTCCAAATACCTCAGTCAAAATTGACCTCGGTGAACATGCTACTTTTTCATTTTAGTTCCCTTTTGGTCATATAGCTCTTCACGTTTATAGATATTGGTACATCATTGAGTTTCAGATGTAAAGGTTTGAGCTTTCCTTATAAAAAGTGACTCGACCGCACGAAATTTTTAAGTTTTATTTTCGTAATCAAAAGAAATATTGTGCCAACATTAAAATATTACATCTTATAACAAAAACATGTTTTCAAGCAGTTTTTGTGATTTGTGCATTACAAAAAGTATTCATTAAGTTGATGCTTTAATGCAATTTTGATACTAGGAAACAATTAATCTTCAAACCGATACATAAATGGCTTTTAAATTTCATATGATAAAGGGATATTGGCGACCATGTCGACTTATATTTCCAACTAACAAACATTTTTAAATGTCAAACTCCTTCGAAAAAGGATATGAAAGGTAATATCATTAAGGAGTTATATGAACAACATGAACCTAAAAAAATAGGCAAATGTTTATAAGGTCAATTTTGCATGAATGATTTGGAACCGTGTGTGAATACCAAAAGGGCAATTTTTACTCATAAATAATGGAGGCATACATCTAATTTCTGTAGTAAATGTGAAATGTATAGATAAAATGAAAATTTCACTATTTCCATGTTCCACCTTTTCAGTTGGTTATGATCCTGGTGATGAAATGGAAATTTACTAATTCGGTTAACCTATCAGCAATGAAATTGCTAATGCATATCCACATGAACTAAATTAGTCTGAACTGCATTCAGAATCTGATATCTTACAATATGTATGTCATGAATCCTCCTACAATCGCTTGCATCACATCCATTACATTTTAAAGTCTGAAAGTATATAAAAGGACAACCAATTATATTGAACACAAAAATTATTGTGCTGACTATTTCAATTTTGTCTGTGGATATAATCACATTTTCAGGAAAAGAAATTGAATAATATATAACATTTAGATATTGACAATTATAAAACATCTTATCAATATGTAAAACAAATACTTTAAAAAAAAACAGTTTAAGTTCCGGTTGTCTTTATAAGTCATAATTGTCAGGATAAATGCTTTTTCGCTATCTTTGTCAGTCATTCGATAATGTCATGTTCATTCCATTTAACGTTTTTCGTTATCATGTTATGCATTAAAACGCATGACCAGTGTAGGGGACGACCATTTAAATATGAGTGGGAAAAAAGGGGGCGGGGATAGCAGATTTAACCAAATTAATATTCTGGCCTCCATTTTATTTGAAATGAATAATCTTGCTTAATCAGACAAAAAAATAATATTCTGGCCTTATAATATTCGAAATGTGCCAAAAAGGTTTTAGCGGGCTTCGTTGGACATGTACATAGGTATACAATAATTACAGATACTCAAGGAAGCGCTTTTTCGGTCAATTTATCCTCCTTTTCCTTGGAGCCAGAAACCACTCCTCATTATTATGCTATCATATTTTTCTTATTTAATTAGAATCACAATTCTAAACTTCGACATAAATAATGTGTCTGCTCTTTTTGTTTGATGTTGTATTTGAATCTTATCATTATTTTTTAAGGACGACCATTTTAATCTGCCGCGGGAGGCAGATTTTGTGTCAAATTTTAGACGAGCAGAAAATAAATATCCTGGCCCTGTTCCGAGTGAACATAAATACTTCAGACACTTTTAAGTTGGAGATAAATATTCTGACCTCAATTAATTTTGCAGCTACCTTCTCTCTCTCAGAGTGAAATGGTCGACTCGTAATAATTTTTAAATAAATCAGTTGCATAGCTATGTTTGAAAAAAAATGTATTCATTATACATGTATATGTGCATTTTAGTCCTATTCGATAATATGTTTTTTTACACTTGAAAGACGGAAAACATATAGTTGAAACCAATTTACTTTCTTTCTAATGGTACTGTCGACTCGACTTATGTTTTTTGTTTGACCCTTTAGTAAGGATACTATTAATATATATATATCAAAAATTAAATACACAAAAAGAGTTTTAAACGAAGCATTGTCTAGCGCTTTCATCCATCTTGGGACCCATCCCATACAAAAAGAAACATTCCATATTGTGTGGCAAGACGAGTATGTTCCATTGTACTGGATAAAACTCTTCGCAAAAGAAGGTTAGACGAGTTGAAGATGTATCTCTTACAACAGATATATTCATTAAAATTTATAAATGACAGTATCGAGAGAACAAATGAATCGTCTACAAATCAACTTAGAACACCGAAGGAACAGACAACCGATGGTGATGTCCTCCCGTTTGTTACTACTCATGATCCGTCATTACCATATGCCTTCAAGTTTATAAAATTGAATCTTCCAATTTTATGTCAAAGTGATACTATGAAAAATTTGGTAATTGAAGAATCGATCATTTATAGTAGAAGACAACCGAAAAATTTGAAACGCCAACTTACAAAAGCTCGATTCGATATAGTTGAAAGCATATCATCCGTGAAAATTTGTGGCGATTCACGCTGTGGAGTATGTTCCAGAGAAAATTATATCTATTTAGAAATCGGCAGTACGAAATATTTCAAAAATGGTAAGAAATTTACAGTAAACGCAAATATGACTTGTAAATCAGACAATTTACTCTATTAAAAATGTATTTATTGTAAAACATGTGTCAACTGTAAAGAAAACTACATAGGTTAAACAGGAAATGTGTGCGAACGGTCACGATCCATAAACAGCAAATACGGCAACCCGAGTACAGACAAATTCCGTTGAGCGAACATTTAGATATTTGTGCGGGAGGGAAATTCAAATTTTTTCCGTTCTTCAAATGTACGGTACCAACGGAGGAATACGGTAAAGAACTAGAAAAAAATTTCATTAAAGGGTTTGACGCCAAGCTAAATGCATAACAGTTACATGCACAATGACGTTGCGTCATAATACTAATGTGTTCCCCATAACGACGTTCATAGTCTTGAAAAGTCCCAAGATGGATGAAAGCGCTACACAATGCTGCTTTTGTATTGTCCATTACTTACTGCAATTAGATATTCAAACACAATCCTTAAATGGTAATTTACCGAAATAACGAACATTTAATGGATAACGATAATTTAAATGTTTCTTTTAATTTTCTCTTTCAATAAGACCACTTATATTTACTGTGTAATTTCGAAGTTGTGAATAAATACGTTTGCAATTATACAGTAGTAAAAGTTTATGTTGCTTACCTCATCAAACAGTCTGATCATATAATTCCGATCAAATTGTACTCCATGTTGAAGAAGTGTGGATACATAGTCTACTCTATTGGCAATAATTGCCTCCAATAAGAATAATTCTAATTCCTATTTGAACGATAAAAAAAATTGCAGCTGGATTTTCAAAATTATTTCTAATATCATTTTTCTAATACCTACGTATACAACTATACATCAGTATTTAAGAACCATGTGTGGCCCATTTCATTTCCTGTTGCGTTCAAAAAATTATTTCCCGTCAACCACGTCTATAAATGAGATCACATTTGGTCGCAACTATCCTTTGACGTCATTATTACAACCACACCTTACACTTTGAACAAATAGCCCAAAAATATATGGGAATCTATTTATTTTTCATTTTTTCATCATTGGAAGGATTTATTTGCATTAAAGACTTTAAAAAATGGGAACATACGGATATTCCAATTCCGCATCGTACACATGTTCACTGCAGCATACATAGTCACAAAATTGAACTATTTAGTTAGATGATATTATCTATATAGAGGAATTTGAGGTAAAAAGATAATGCTTACTTCTTTTAATTATGCTTAAGAACCTTGTGTGTGTAGTCTGTCTCATATAAATAAAAATTAACAATCGGCATTAAAAGTAGCACATTTGCTTCCGATTGTAATGCTTATATTCAGTTGAACAATACAGAAAGAGAAGTCGTAGAACATTTTACTGGAAGCCGAGTTGATAGACTGTTTGTGTACTGGTAGCCAATACATAGTAAGGACCTTCAAATATTTAGAGGAAACCTTAAGCTGAGATGTGGTAGTGACATAATTATTTATGATATAACTCTCTTTGAATTGCAACTCCTTGAATGTAGAAAAATTTATAATTTTATTCTTAAGAACTTCCGTGTAGATTTGTGCTTCCCTCGGTTTTAGTTTGTAACCCGTATGGGTTTTCGCTTAATCGATTTATGACTGTTAAACAGCGGTATATTACGGTTGCTTTTATTTACGTCATACCACTACCACATGGTTGGCTGTATGTCGGTCTGTACGAATTTAAAACGCTTTCAGGGTGCTTGAATTTTTTTTATTTTATTCTAGAAATTGGTGTCTATGCCAAAATTGCGACAAACTTCTATAAAAATTATCGGTAAATTCCGCTTGTGAGTATTGCCAAGTTTGTTTCATACACGAATATTATTTGTATATCTATCCGTTGAATCTGTGTATACTTACATGGACGGTATCAGCTGATCTTAATTTCTCAACATAATGTTTTACTGAATTAAAATTCAAATGAAACGATTTTCTTTGTCATACTAACTGATGTTTTCTGCATTGAAACGAATATATAAAAATAAGACGGTGTGGAATGATTGCCAATGAGACAACTCATACCGCATAGTCAGCTAAAAAAGGCCACGAAATGTACTGTTTAAAACAAATGGAAACAAAAAACAAGTTTAGGAATTCCTTTCACATTGGTAACAAAAGATTGGATTAAAATAAGAGTCTCCTAGTGTTTTAACCATCACAACGGCTGCAACATATGGAGCAAGATCTGCTTACCCTTTCGGAGGTCATGAAATCACCCCCAGTTGTTTGGTTGTGTCCGTTTTGCTCAGTCTTTAGTTTTATGTATTGTATATTGTTGTTTGTGTTTTGGTTGCCTTTAATTTGTTCTTTGCCATGGCATTATCAGTTCGTTTTCGTTTATTTATACCTCTTGGTATCTTTCGCGTTTTTTTTGTTTGTTAGATATACGTGTTCGTTCATGTTGCTACTGAAATAAAGTTACACATAAATAGTTGAAGAATATCCTTTTAAAATCCAATTACGACACTGAATAATGAGAAGGAAGCAAAACATATCAATAATACCTGCAGACGTTCACATATTGTTGTCTCTTTATAATAAAACGAGGTTGGATGAAAATAGATAAGTACTAAAAACTGTAATGAACAGTGACGCATTTTTTGATAGGTACATTTTGTTATACTGTTCATATAGTTTAGGATCTAGCGTTTCCGTTAAATTTTTTATGTGTTTAAAGTGCCGTTGAAATCAAACACTGGTAATGTTAGCATTTTATTTAAGGTAAAAGAAACTATGTTCTTTTTCTTTCGATCATGTCATTTTGGGCAGTTTCATTAGCGTTTGGTCATCTCACGAAAACTGTATGCACCATAGTTTCGTTTCGGTCGTTATCCTTTTAGGAATTGGTCCACATACTTTAATATTGTTTGATGCCACGTAATATTTGTTGAAAATAAATCGGCCAATCGATATAGTTTATGCACAAATTGGTTTTAACAATTTCAAAATATAAAACTAAGCCGTCTGATATAAGAAAAAAGGTGTTCTAGCTACGCAAGTTCATAAAGGATATATACCTTTTCCTTATTCTGTATTGCACCACTTTCTTGGATGTACTGGTAGGCGATGTAGAAGTAAAGTGATAATGAGCCGGCCGTAATATGGAGTTTTTCCATAAGGCTATGACATTTTTCTGTAAAAAAAAACAAGTACATAGTATTGTTTTATGCTTTCCTCCTTCAACCCAAACAAACCACCAGAGGTTTAACATTAACTTGTATGAGTCAGCAAGTAGCTCATGTATTTTACATTCTATTGGGCAATGCATAAATGAAAAGAGAAACAAGAAGGTGAATTGCGATTTTTTTATTTATTCAGAGTAAAAATTGTTCTCATATAAAAATAAACAATATATACATTGTACATATACATTTGTATAATAAGATAATAATGAATGAAAAACATGAAACGATAATACAATAATACAGAATACAATAGCTTGGCCTAGGAAGGGAGCAACTAAGCCACCAGGAAAGATGTAATGAAATAAATCTTTCCTACCCCACAAAGGCCAAGCACTTGGCATAAATAGAAAAACATAAGTTTAATGCATATCCATATGGTAAACCTAAGTCATAACTGCTGTTCAAAAGAGATTTATGCTAAAACAAATTGTACGATTTGCTATATTAGCTATATTAGTTCAAGTTCAATCTATGTCTAAAGTAAAAGTGAAAATACTGAATGTGACAAATAATATTTGAACAGTTCTAGAAGTGATACAATACCAGCCCAAGCAAGTACTATAAAATAATCATTAAGACAATTTCCATGTCAACAATTTTTACAACAACTATATTACATAATCACCTTCAATAATAAGCTGCTTTTCTATAAATAAACCAAACAAACAGTGAAAATACTGAGTATAATAAATAATATTTGATCATATTTAAGTAGTGATACAATACCAGCCCAAGCAAGTACTGCCAAATACATATAGACAATAATGTCCTTCTAAACAATTTTTACAGCAGCTATGTACAATAAAAAGTAAAATCACAAAAATACTGAACTCCGACGAAAATTCAAAAAGGAAAGTCCCCAATCAAATGGCAAAATAAAAAAAACAAACACATCAAACGAATGGATAACAACTGTCATATTCCTGACTTGGTACAGGCAATATTAACCTTCAATAAAAAGCTGCGTTTAAATAAAAAAAAAACAAACAAACGGTAAAAATACTGAATGTGTTGAATAATATTTTAAAAGTTCTGAGTAGTGATACAATATCAGCCCAAGCAAGTACTGCAAAATAAACATTAAGACAATTTCCATGTCAACAATTTTTACAGCAACTATATAACATATTCACCTTCAATAATATACTGTTTTTAAATAAATAAAATAAACATACAGTGAAAATACTGAATGTGACGAATAATATTTGATAAGTTCGAAGTAGTGATACAATACTAGCCCAAGCAAGTACTGCAAAATAAACATAAAGACAGGTCTTGTCAACACTTTTTACCGCAACTTTATAATAATATTAGCCTCAATAAAAAAGCTACTTTCATATATAAATAAAATGAATTTGAGGAGCAAGAAATATTAATAAATGTATGGGTAAGAGGTCAATATAAGCATACATTTGAAATAAAGACTTAACGGCCCAAGCAGTTAAGTTTGATTAAATTAGCATGATAGCCTTTTGCTATGACCCATTCATATCTTGTGCATAAAAAAGTAAATTTCTTTAATTAAAGACACCATTTTTGGAAAAATAAGAATGCTTTTTATAACTTGTATCGACCGGCCAAAACATGGTCTATATACAATGTATATCTAATTATCAAATTCAATTGACCAAAAACCAAACACATGGTCTATAAGTAACATCTATAGCCTTAATACATAGTATATAACCTGATAAAAATATAGTTTATAAGTAACATCTAATGACCAAATACATGGTCTGTTACCAACATTTATTGACTAAATACATGGTCTATAAGTAACGTGTAATGACCAAATACATGGTCTGTTACTAACATCTATTAACCAAATGCATGGTCTATAAGTAACATGTAATGACCAAATACATGATCTGTTACTAACATCTATTGACCAAATACATGGTCTGTTACCAAAATTTATTGACCAAATACATGCTCTTTTATCAAAATTTATTGACCAAATACAAGGTCTGTACTTAACATCTAATGACCAAATACAGGGTCTGTTACCAACATGTATTGACCAAGTAAATGGTTTATAAGTAACTTCTAATGACCATATACATTGTTGATAAGTATCGTGTACTCAATAAATACATGGTCTGTTACCAAAGTATTGACCAAATATATATTTATAAGTAAAATCTTTTGAACAAATACATGTACATGGTCCACATAAAACGTATATATCATAAAATCATATACTTTCGAACAAGTACATGGTCAAACACAAATGTATATATTTCAAAATCTTTTTCTATTGAACAAAAACACGTTGTACCTAAAATGAATCTATCTAAAGATATTTTTTTTTTATTAGACAAATACATGTTCTAGATCTACATAGAATTTATATATCAGACATCATATACTATGTAACAAAAAAAATGAATATATCTAAAAATCATATTCTATTGAACAAGTACATGGTTTACATAAAATAAATATGTTTTAAAATCATATTCTATTGAACGAAAATACCTGGTCTACATGGTATATGAAATTTATATACATATCTCAAAAATCATATTCATTGACAATTACATGTAAAATGGTCTACATAAAATAAATATGTTTTAAAATCATATTCTATTGAACAAAGATACCTGGTCTACATGGTATAACAGATATTAACAAAAAAAACATGTTCTTTAAACACAGTAATATATAACTAAATATCAAAATTTATTCACCAAATACATGACCAAGAAGAAAATGTATATTGACCAAATACAATGGTCTGGTACTAACATCTATTGACCAAATACAGTCTATAAGTAACATCTAATGACCAAATACATGGTCTGTTCCAACATCTATTGACCAAATACATGGTTTATAAGTAACATATAATGACCAAATACATGGTATGTTACCAACCTCTATTGACCAAATATATGAATGGTCTATAAGTAACATCTAATGACCAAATATATGGTATATTACCAACATTTATTGACCAAATACATGATCTATAAGTAATTTCTAATGACCAAATACATGGTCTGTTACCAACATCTATTGACCAAATACATGGGCTGTTACCAACATCAATTGACCAAAAACATAGTCTAAATACATTGTATGACGAAATACATGGTATGTTACCAACATGTAATATCCAAATACATGGTACAATGTATGTTACCAACATTTATTGAACAAATACATAATCTATATAAAATGTATATTTCTAGCTAAAAATCATATTATTTTGATTAGTACATTTGTACATGGTCTACATTAAATGTATATACTTTTATCTAAAAATCATATTCTATTGAACAAATAAATGGTATACATAAAATGTATATCTATATATCATATTTTATGGAACAAATAAACGGTTTAAATAAAATGTATTTATCTAAAAAACAAAACAAAATTCTATTAAACAAATAAATATAAAATCAACATAAAATGTTTATAAATGTATCTAAAAATCAATTCATATTCTTTCGAATAAGTTTATATTCTACCTCAAATGTAGACATGTATCTAAAAACTATATTTTATTGAACAAATACATCGTCTACATAATCATGATAAAATACATAGTATATAAGTAATATCTTTTGACCAAATACATGGTCTATAAATAACATCAATTAGAATTATATATAGTCTATTACCAATAGATATTGACCAAGAAAATACAATGAATTAATAAATTTTAAATTCTCTTTACCAAATACATGGTATAAATTAACATACATGGTCTATTTGTAAATAAACTCATCTTAGATACAAGGATTGAAATTTTGTATTTGCGCCAGACGCGCGTTTCGTCTACAAAAGACTCATCAGTGACGCTCGAATCAAAAATAGTTAAAAAGGCCAAATAAAGTACGAAGTTGAAGAGCATTGAGGACCATAAATTCCTAAAAGTTTTGCCAAATACAGCTAAGGAAGTCTATTCCTGAGGTAGAAAAGCCTTAGTAATTCAACAATTCAAAGTTTTGTATACAGTTAATTTATAATTATGACCATATCAATGATAATTAATGTCAACACAGAAGTGCTGACTACTGGTGTAATTTATTCTTGACCCAAAGTGGTTAATTTTTTATTTGTAAATTCCATTTTACAAAATACATTTGTACATGGAACAACTTTTCAACATGATATTTGGATATTTCAAATATTCTGTATGTGTATGTATGATCTTTGCCAAATACATGGTTTGACTCTACATGTATATGCCTGATAATAACTTAAAAATGCCTATGAATTGAACTTGTGGCATATACTTAAATCATGTTCTATATGTAACATGTATTGACCATATAAAAATATACATAATTTGTATACAATGTCTTCATGTATCTTAACTTCAAAATCTATTGACTAAATACATGTACATGGTCAATGTGTAGCTTATTCTTGACCATATACATGATATCTTTTAACTGTAAATTCTTTTTACCAAATACATGGTATAAATTTATCTATGCATGGTTCAAAAGTTCTGCATATGTACATGTACATGTATGTACAAGTATGATTTGTGCCAAATACATGGTTTGACTCTTAATACATTGCTGATAAATATTTAAATAAACATATGAACTAAACTTGTGAAATATACCAAATACATGGTTTTTAGTCTGAATATACCTTTGAGTGCATTTTAAATTAGGATATTGGCTCATAAAATATGTTTGTAATACATGATAACCATGAATGTCATGCTTGCCTCATATTGTTTTGCATTATTGTTTATATGCATTATCATTATTATCATCATTTTTTGTTTACATATATCTATTTTTTTTAATTTTTATTTATTTATTTTTTTTTATATAATATTTGTTTATGTAAAACTGTAGGTCCTTTTATACAATGCGTCTTAAACATAAAATTCTTTTGAGCGATTACATGCATGACACGGTTAATTTGTGAATTTTCTTGACCAAATACATGATCTATTTTAAAATGTAAATACCATTTA